AGCTTCTCTGCCCTAGGAGCCTGGGATTGATGCCCTAGGAGCCTGGGATTGAGGTGGGGAGCTTCCTTCCGGGTGCTGGGACCAGCTCACTTTCTCTGCCCTAGGATGTTTCTTCTTTCTTTAAAAAAAAGCACATACTGTATTATGATAATCAGAATAATTTTTTCCTTTTAAATAAAGAAGGTATAACCTCTCACATTCCTTCCAGAAATTACTCAAAATGCACTGTCTGCTTCCCCACTCTAGGTAGCTCCTCATGTTAGATGCTTTGTACCACAACAATCTCAAATTTTATGGCCCAAGAAAAATCTCCAGCCAAGGGAAACTGCAGGCTTCAGTGCTCACAAAGGTCAAAATGATCACAATCCATTAGAGCAGTACATTCCAGGCATTAGGTGTTCAGTATCTTCTCCCCACAGTCCAGCTGCATGATAGACTGTGCACCCACAGAGGTACTGTATGTCCACTGGTCTTACTGACATAAGTCACTCCACAGGAGTACATGGCTGCTTCTTCTGGTCCCCAAAGCAAAATGGACTGGAAGCTGGGAGCTCAGGCAAAAGGGACAATCGACATTGAATTTAAAATGCTTTCTGTGCACTCATTTCCTATAAGCATTGGACTAAAGGGTTTCTTCCCAAATACTGGTGAAGAGTATGACCAAGTCAGTTGTCTTCTTACAAGATTAATGAACTCTATCCATCACTACTTGTTGGGAGCAATTCTACATAATTTGGGGGGGAAATCACTTTACAATTAAAATTATGATTAAGCCTAGTTTTCCTACCTACAGGCCAGCTATGGCATATTGAGACATAATGACATTTTCACTTCCAGTCACAGCTAAATCCTCAATGGTCCAGTGATGCTGTGATGCTCCAGGGCAGGATTACACCAGCAGAAGAAATCCTGGGGAAGAACAAAATCTTTATCTACATAAGTTCCTCCTTGCTCTAAAACTATCAAAGCCACCCTCTGAGCCATCTGTTACTCCCAATATACTGAATAAAGGTGTGGTGAGCTCTGGGTTTTTCATCTTTGCTGCCCAGAGCAGCATTGATCAGGCCCAAAGCTCAGCTTCTTCTCTAAGTCTCATTTTTGTCTTTATTCTTTAATTTGCCTTGTGCTGTCATGGCTCACAGGAGACTAGGGCTCACTGCAGGGGTTCTAGTAATGTCCCATTTCTCTGTCCCCTACACCTACTCCCTTGCAACCTCTAGTTCCAAGTGTCTTTGTCACTATTTCTCCTAAATACTGCCATGCACAACTCATTGCCTCCCATTTTTTAAATAATTGCAAACTTGGAAGAGATGGACTCATAGCAACCTTGTTGGATCTTAAAAACATGGCTCAAGGTGGGAAAAAATACAAGTATTACAAATTGCACAAGTTTAAGTTAACAATTAGAAATGCATTCACCTCAAAAATTACATATTTTACAAGCATATATGCCAACAAAGGGATGTAAACATACTAAATGACAGCCTTTGGGCCTTACAATTAGGAAGCAGGAGTGATGGATGGGAATTTAAGAAAATTAAAATATCATAAAAGGAAAGCACACTGACTCCTCAGCCTCTCATCAACCTTTTCATCCATGATGTCCAAGTCTTCTCCTGGATGTTCAGTGCTCTCTTCTCCTTCCTGTTTAAATGCCTTCTTCCTCATTTTTCCTCTTCTTTTCTCTAAGACCTCCAAACCATTTTCTCTTTTTATTTATTTTATGCACATTGTTCTCTGGCTCTCTTATTGGTTTCTCAACCTCTGACCCCTTTAAACAAATCCTAATCCTTCACACACACCTATCACCACCCCCACCACCTCATCCCTGTGGAGGCTCTGATGGAGTAAAGACTAACAAATCTAGTCCAAGTGACCTTTGCTTTGCCCCATGCCTCCCCTCCCATCCTTCCTCCTGGCTCTCTTTCCTACTTTCTCCCACCCCTCTCTCAGCTTCCTTTCCATCTCTTCTTTACTCACTGCTTTCCTCCCTCTCTCTCACTTTTCTCTCCGTTTCTCTCCCTTCTCAAGCTCTGGGGGTTGCCAGAGGTGACTGACTGTCACCAGTCCAGAACTGCCCTGCGAGAGCCTCCTCTATTGCCTAATCTCAAAGTACAGCTAGTCAGTGAGCACTTGGAGCCCATTCTCTCACTGATCTGCTGCCACAGGAGTTCACGTCTGACCTGGGAGAGATGACTCTAGTGTGGAGACAAGTGCAGAGAGCCTTTCACCTGGAGACCTCTTCTCCTAGGATCCTCAAGATGTGTCCCTCCCTGAACCGTGAGTGGAAACCAGAGAGACATGGGTCAGCAGAGGGTCAGCAAGAGAGGCAGGCCTAACCTCTGGAGTTTGTTACCTGGGATTTAGGAATGTAAGATAATTAGATCAGCATGAGGTCTTAGATCAGGATTAGGAGCATGTAACACAGTGATTATTTCTCACCCTGGCGGATCCAATGCCCCTGTTTCATAGCCAATATTTTGTAATGCTCCCTTTGCTCTGAAATGAAATTCATAGATAATTAAAGCCAACTATTACACAATGTCAAATTTTAAGGAACGTACTTGTCTTTGTCATTTTTCTCATTGCTGAGACAAAAATACTCATCACCTAAATTTAAAGGAGGAAAGGTTTATTTAGCTCACAGTTTGCAGTTTGTTTTAGTCCATAATTGGCTGGCTCTAAAGCAGGGTAGTGTGGCAGACAGGCATGGCAGAGGAGAAACAGTTCATGGTGGGCAAAAAGTAGAAAAAAAATCAAGGGACCTTAACAGCGTCTTTCTGCCCCTTTTATTTTATCTGGGCTACTTAGGTTAGGTAGCACTCACATACTTTTTTTTTATTAAGTTTATTGGTACATTTTAGGTATACAATAGTTACATTCATCATTGGGAACTTGTTCCTTTACATGATGTATCTTGGTTCTTATTTTTTTCCCCCTTCCCCTGCCCTCCATTCACACCCTCCTCCCTTCCCTATTTACAAAGAC